TGCCATGGACAACGTGCAGAGTGGATTCGATATGGGTCATCGTGGATCGATTGACCAAGAGCGCACATTTCATTCCGATTCAGGAGATAATCTCCGCCAAGAAGTTGGTCGACATTTACATTAGGGAGGTTGTGGCATGTCATGGGGTTCCGGTTTTTGTGGTTTCAGACAGAGATGTCCGGTTTACTTCCAGGTTTTGGAAGAGGTTTCATGAGGAGTTGGGTACTCGTCTGCATTTCATCACGACTTCCCACCTGCAGACTGACGGACAGAGTGAGAGGACTATCCAAAATCTGGAGGATATACTGTGGGCATGTGTATTGGACTTCAGTGGGAGTTGGGATCCATATCTTCCTTTGGCAGAGTTTTCATATAGTTATCACGCCAGAATCGAACGACCTCCTTTTGAGATGCTCTATCGGAGGAAGTGCGGGAACCCGATATGTTGGGATGAGGTCGGTCAGCGAGTCGTGGGGAGTACTAAAGTGGTACTCAAGGCTATTGAGTTGATTCAGTAGGTTCGGGGTAGACTTCAGACAACACAGAGTCGACAGAAGATCTATGACGACAAACGCCGATTGGACCTAAAGTTCCAGGTTGGGGATATGGTTCACCTGAAGGTGTCGCCTTGGAAAAAGTGTTATCCGATTCAGGAAGAGGAGCAAGTTGGGCCCCAGGTACATTGGTCCTTTCAGGGTTTTGGCCCGGGTGGGCCGGGTTGCTTATCGCTTGGATCTTCCCGAGGAGCTTAGTCAGATCCATAGCACATTTCATGTCTCTCAGCTACGGAAGTGTTTGGTTGATGATTCCGTGGTGGTTCCATTGGAGGATATTCAGGTGGACGATCGCTTGAATTATATCCAGAGACCAGTGACGATCCTTGACCGGAAGACGAAAACCTTGAGGAACAAGGTTGTTGAGTTGGTGAAAGTCCAGTGGCAGCACCACAAGGGTTCACAATGGACGTGGGATCCTAAAGACGAGATGAGGGAGCATTACCCAGAGTTATTTACGACAGCGGACTTCGAGGGCGAAGTCTGATTCAAGTGGGGGAGAATTGTAACACTGCATTTCCAGGTTTTTCCCTTAAGCCCTTCATTTTTAAAATCTTTGCGAAATGGTCCCTAGCCGAGTACGATGGACATACTCTATAAGTATGTTGTGCGTACTGGCTCCTTAGATGGTCGTGGAGGCGCCCACGTACGCTGGGCGTACATAGGAGTAATCAGGGCGTACTATCAGATGGGATAAACCCTATTTTTAAGGTTTATGCCATATTTAAACACCTTAAGTTGCCTTTGGGGTTTCTTATGACCAGCCTCCACTTCTCCAAACCCTAAAAATGAAACCCTAATCTTCATTGAGTGTTTGTGAGCCTTTATGTGATTTTTGTGGTGTTTTTGTGCCCCTTGTAGGAAGTGAAGCTTTGGTGGACTTGGAGCTTGAAGATCCAGGATCTTCATCAACTTTGCAAGCTATTTGAGGTATAAAGCTCCTAACCTAATAAATCCTTTGGTTAGATCTAGTTAGGGCTTGTTTTATGCTTCTTATGGTCCTTTAAGCCATGCTTGAGAGTATGAGCTACTCTGGAAGCTAGGGATGGTAGATTTTGGCATTTTTGAGGTCCCTTGTTCATAAAAATGCAATCTTGATAAGTCATCTTGGCCCATGCATGAGTTAGAGTTACTCTTATGGTTCTTTTTGAGTTTTGGGCCCCATTAAGTCATGAAAGTGTGTAAAGTTACCAAATTTACGTGTTAAGACACCATTTAGGATCAAATATGTGAGTTTGGCTTAGTGACTTAACCGATTAAGTTCTTAATGGAAGGGTTGGTTGTCTATGGAGTACGCTGGGTGTACCCAACTCATATGCTATGCGTATTGGCCCCGGAAGGAGTACGCTGGGTGTAAGTCTGAGTACGCCGTGCGTACTTAGCAGTTTGACTTTTTGTTGAATTTCACATTTTGGGCCATACTTGGAATTTTAGGGTTTGGTCCTTGTTGGGCCAATAGTATTTTTGACCTTGGGGCATTATTAGGCTTTGGGTCTTTTTGGATTAGGCCCATGATGGGTTTTGGGCCCATTTAGGAAGTTGGGCCATATTGGGCTTTTTGGTGCTAGTGGATTGGGCCTCGGATTTTGGGCTAAGTGAGGAAAGGGTAAAATGAACTTTTACCCTGAGTGATGGACAACTAGACTAGGATTCCAACTATGGGTTGTGGACCAATTATTAATTGGGTCTTATTTGTTGATGCTAGCGCGAGGATTTTCCGGACCAGCAGTCCGGGCTTTTATCTGAGATATTCAGCAGCTTGAGGTGTGTTTCCTCACTGTGCTTGGCGGATCAAAGGTACTAATGTCGTTCCATGGTTTATTATGATTAGGATGCTAGTTGTCTGCGTGACTCTTGCATGTATGTTATCTGATATGTATACAGGGCGGGGCCCGATGCCAGGCGGGGACTAATGAGTGTATTGTATGTTATTTATCTTTGTGATTCTTACATGTGTTTATGTGTTTGTATGTATACCGGGCGGGGCCCAATGACAGGTGGGCCCTGATGAATGTGATGAGGCGGGGCCCATATCATATTACTGACAGATCTGTTCTGAGCGGGGATCGATGTTGGGCGGGGCCCATTATATGTTTGACATGTATGGTATTTTGTGTTTTGGGGAACTCACTAAACTTCGTGCTTACGGTTTTCACTTTATGTTTCAGGTACTTTTGGTTCGAAGGGGAAGAGCTCGAGATGACCGCATTGCACACACACACACACTATGATTTCCGATTTATATAGCTCTGATGTATTAGATTGGTCGTTTGACATACTCTGATTTTCTTGTATGGTTTTATAAAACACGTTTGGGTTGATGGTTTTTATTATAATTAAAATGAAATTTTTGGTCTTAATTTTTGGGATGTTACAGATAAGTAGCCTTAGTGATTAAGAACTCAATGCATTAAGAAGGCCATAATAGTTCTCACAACGTGAATGATTGGCGTTCACGACATGAGAAAAGATATTATCCGCGACTGTTTTGTCTTGAGACCCCCACGAAGTGATAAAATCTCGGTCACAACGTGGCGGTCGGCTAGGAGATTTTGACTGTTGACTGTTGACTTTTTGACAAAGTTCGACTTTAGGCCAATTTAGGGGTTTTGGGTTGTAGTTTAAGATTTGATCCCTGATTGTTGTATAGGTGACCTGCAGTACCATTTATTGGATCTGTGAGTAGTGCGGTTGTATGCTAGACTGCGATGTGAGTTTTCTCATTATACTTTGTACTGCAGTATGTGTCCTTGTATGTAGGATCAGGATGTTGTTATGTTGTAGTGATCTGTTAGACTGTTAGATCTGCTATGATTACATATGCTTTCTTGGTATTTTTTTGGTGCATATGTCGACATAGTGTGGTTGGGTTGAGACGGTACTGCTTTGTGTTGTAGGCCAACATACCCGGGAGCGATCCAACTATATGTTGTAGGCTCGGGAGCGGTCCGGCCTTGTGCTGTAGGCCTGGTGTGCATGCATTATATATGTATTGTTGTGTGGGGTATTTTGGGAAAACCACTATGCTTTGACTTACATTTGTGGATTTAAATGTTTTCTGGTACTTCAAATGATCGGGACAAGGGGAAGACGTGATCGTACACATCTTCTACTGATTTATATTTTGAAAGATGATTTTGATACTCTGATTTCTATTGTTTTGTCTTGGAAACAAAGTTTGATTATTTATTTACTTTATGAAAAATGTCTTTAAAAATGAAAATTCTTTAAGAGGCGACCATCAATGAGAATTCTAAGTCCAATCCTTCTATTGAGCATCCCAATAAACCCACATTCTAGAAAGTTTATAATAGGATACACAAGCCACATATAGGGAAGTGATTACATCAATTAGTTATATGGTTCGGGAGAAATCTTATATAGTGGAACATGACTGTAAGGAGATGATATGATTTGAATTATAAAATATTCTCGAGCTTGTATTCGGCATGGTGGCTTGGACGATAATGTGTTCTTTAAAGCTTCATGGTTTTTCCTGATTTTAGTTAAATAACAATCGTTCCCTTTGCCAACCTAATTGACTAATTCTCGTATGTTCTTATTTTACATTCTTATAAAAGTAGTCACATAGTTTTATATAGTAATCTTACGGAAGTTATTGATAGATAAATGCCATGAAAATGGAGTTTATAGTGATGTTGTTTATGCAAAAAGATTATGTGATGTGGTTCGATAAAATACAATATGTGGTGCAATTTTCCATGACGTATCAACATAGAATATGTAATTTTTAAAATATAGCAAAGTAGGATATATATTACAACAATTTTTAACAGCATATAAATAATATAAAGTCAATCTTTATTGAGAAGAAATAGTTTTATTTCCATAAAGTTGTCAAGACAATTGTTTTTATTTTATTTTAGAATGATATTAATTTCAATATAAATTTTTTTGCTAGCAAGCATAACATTAACCTACACTTCTCAATAGGGAAGCAAACGAGCCTGACCGCACTCGGCTTGTTTAAAATTTTTTGGGCTCCAAATCATTTAACATTATACATGCTCAAACTGGGTTTTGGAATGACTCGGTATATCTAATTCCCTAAAATAGTGTTTTTTAAATAATTACTTATTTTAATATATAAAAATATAATTCAAAATTTTATATTGTATATATGTAGGCTTGTTTAGACCCGCGGGCCTAATCGGGCTTAGTATCACAGACTTAGAGCTGGAGTTCGTTTAATAAACAAGCTTAATCTTATGCTCGATCTTGGCTCAAACTCGTTTAAAATCGATTTCCAATCAAACTTTTAGCGAGTTGATTCCAAGTAACTCACAACTAATTTGATTCGTTTGCACCCCTACTTCTGAGAACCATATATACACTTGTATGATGTCACAAGGGCACCCATCATCAAACCAAAAATAATTCTTTAAATACATGCTATCAATACATTTAAACTTATAAACTTATAACATGTCATAATCGTTAAACCAATAGAAATCCTCATTTACCGATTGGTTTTTCTATAATATAATCAAGATCCTAAAATAACTACCAATTAAAGACCAAGTATGTTGCAAATACAACCTCATGAGACCAAACGCGTTGGAATGTTGCTATCATACACCCCATTCATCGCTTTTTTCGCCTGCAAAACATTAGTAGATGTTAGCATTATATGTATATTTCTCTAAGTGTAGAGGATTATTATATTTTTATCCTATCTTAGTTTGGAATATATTTTCCTTTTCCTCTTTTGTGGCGAATGTTATTAGCAACTTTTCTGTTTATTTAATTTTATTTTTTTGATTCATCTTTTTAAAAAGACATTTATTTTACTTTTGTACTCTATATTTTAATTGAAGAAAATGAATCATAACGAATGTTATAAAAATCAAAACATATTTTTTAAGTGATGAATCGTAAAAGCTTTGGCATTTCATCATCTCATTGTATAGGGGACTGGGAGTTCTACAACGGCTAGAGACAGTCTCTTTCATCCTAAGACTAAACGGAATGGTGGGTATTTTTTAAGCATATGATGATATGGAAGTGGGTTGATGTGTTAGTTGGGAGGGAGGGGGACCCAGCATGGTGGTGATGTGAGTTCTCATGACTCCAACTACCTTCACAAATCACAATCTCTCTCTTATTCCCTCTCTATCACTCCCCTCTATCTCTCTTTTCCTACCGGTGAGTGTGTAGTATTTAGCTGATGTGGTTGGCTCCTATGCGTGATAAGTTGGGATGCTTACATGTGGTAAGTTGGAGTCCTCGGTGTTTTAAGTTGAGTTTTTCTAAAAAGAAAATCAAGAACTACAAGTATCTTGGTGAATGTGAGACTTTAGAAGAAGATAAGAAGCTTTAATTATATACATAAGTCAAGAACTTGATGTCCTACTTCTTTTTCCCAGTTCGTACAAGCCGTGATTATTAAAAGCAGCACTGCTTGAACCCCACTCCCACAAATAATCCCCATCCACAGACCCTGCAAACAAATTCATTAAAATCAAGCTCACTATAAAAAAAATAATAATAATAAATAAATAAAAAGCTAACAAGAAATGACATCACCTTCCCTCCCAAACCGTACACAAATGTCAGAGCCATGGCGAAAGGAAGGCCGACGAGGTAATAAGCTCCTAAATTCACCAACGTGCAGATCTTCTGCCAACCACATCCTCTCGCAACACCTTTGATTTGGGGTTCATGGTTCATGTTTCATTGACATCTTTAATCTGTATATATTAGTCTAACCTGATAGTACACCTTGGATTCCATCCATGACGTTTGATAAAGCGAGTACAGGCATAACTACCGACATATAGCTCACAACTTCAGCTTCACCGGTGTACAACTTAGACCAAACGCCACCAGCCACCACTAAAAGCAATCCAATCAAGAGTACTTCTGTGACAACTAGTGATAAAGCAACCCATACCGCTAATTCCGCCGCTTCGTGTTTTCCTGCTCCAAGTTCATTTGAGACCCTGGTGCTGTTAATTAGCGCCATAAATCATAAATGTCAGTAAGTAACTATAGTATATATATACTAGAAAGGTATAGACCTATTAAGAGTATATATATACCTGACTGCACTGCCTAAACCGAAGGGGATTCTGTAGGCCAATGAGATTGTACTAAGACTTAGAGAATTAAAGAAGATTTGAAATGTTAGTATGAAGTATATATGAAGCTGAATCTTTAAGTGAAAGAAAACAGGGTTTGCATGCAATGCATATGCACCTGATACACATCATCGATGTTTCTAGCTTTGGATTTGGAAGGATTCCAGAGAGTAAAACCAAAAACTCATACGACCAATACTCCAAGCTTTTATATATGATGAAAAAAAGAACCGAAAGAAGGTATCTTTAAATTTTTAACAATAAAGACCGGAAAAGATGGCGAAAAAAACAAGCAGCATTGAGTTGAAACTGACCAGACCATGAGAGCTGAAGGTATTCCTAAAGCAAGAAATCCGGCAAGATCACGAACACCATCTATAGGAAACCCGAGCCATGTTCTTTCACAGGTATGTGAAAACTTGATATAAAGACCCAAAATCAGCACATTAATCCAGTACGAGATGGCAACCGAGAGAGCGGCACCCGAGCTACCAAACCCACATTTGGAAACCAAGATCCAACAACATAACACATGAAGTAGGCTTGCAAATCCTGTGCTTATCATTAAAGGCTTCGTGTTGTTTTGAGTCTGCAAGAATCTTATCTGACATTGAAGTAGACAGTATGGGAAGATGCTGGGGATCAACCAATGTGCGTAATTCCCAGCTTGTTCTGAGATTTCCAAATCTTGTCCAAAATACGTAAAGATTTGTCCCGTGGATGCCCAAATCAGAGAAATTGGGATACCCATTAGCATCAGTATTGCCATGGCTCTTTGCAAGTGTACACCAAGCATATGATACTGTTTTGCACCATAAGTTTGCCCACACAATGTTTCCAATGCACTCCCCATGCCCATCTGATAAGAAATAAAATGAATCAGTTAACTATATATACAGAAATGACCCATAAAAGGAAACACAACAGATCTTTTTGTTACCATGAAGGAGAAACCCGTGACACTGGCGAAAGATGTGGCCATAGACGCACCGGAGAGAGCAAGCTCTCCAAGATGCATGGCCTATGAACATGATTGATGTTAGCAGAAAACTGTACTGAAGAAAGCTAACGAGAATAAAAGGGCCTGCTAACATCAGTTGTTGCTTCAGTTCTGTGAAAACCTCGGTTACATGATCAAACTCGAATCTGTATTTCGAGTTTTGGATTATAAGAGAAGACCCGATAAGCGGTTTGGAGTCCATTTCTCTTCAATTTTCTCTCCTCGGTTACATGGAGAATGAGATGTTTGGTGGCACTTGATTTCGGAAAAAGGGGTGCAATATATGGGGAGAAAAAGACATGGAGAGTTTTGTAAAAGTTGACAATATTTGAATCTAAAAGATACATAAAATCACATTACTTTTAAAGACTGATCATGCATGATGCATAACGTGCGATTTGACTAGCCTAGTACAGATGGTGACTCAGTAATTAGGCCTAGTGGATCTAATTACGCTTTAATCATCTGATAATTTATTGTACATTTTGCATTATTGAAGTCGAAAGCAAAAAAAAAAAATAAATAAATAAATAAAAAAAAGCTATCTTTTTTCCCCACTCGGAAAAGCTTTGGCATACCCGTAGATATGGTACATTCATCGATGAAGCTGGTGTTTGCTTCCAAAAAGGCTTTATCCTCGTCTGGAAAGTGGAAATCAGAATTCATAAGACTACTCGGAGTGGGCAGTTATTGTGCCTAATAACACGTGATAACGCCAATGAACACCGCTCCTCCCTCCCGTTATTGCGTGTTAAAGACATTCTCGTTGCTTCCCGTTACCACCATAACATTTGCTAACGTCGTTTCCTTGTTTTTTCTCCTAATAACACGTCACACCCACCTCTCTAACAACCCATATCCTGTGGAAAGATCATTGTGGGACTGTTGGACACTCACTTTGTACATATGTAATAAATTAACCAATGTTGAAATACTCGCAAAGTTTTTGATGGAACTTTTTTATTAAAACGTTCATTTTATCTCCATAATAGAACAAGAACTTTTTTAAATTGCTTATTTATTTATTCTCCTTAATAAACGAAGTTTTTTTTTGCCACATGTCAATCTTTAATAAATTTTGACACTTGTCATTTTGTGGTATTTTTGAAATAAATATTATCCACTTGTCAATTTTTGGTTTGTTTCAATTTTTAAGATTAAAGTTACTGGCGGAACTAGAAACTTTTGTTAGGGGTAGCACAAAGATTTCTTGATAAATGATAATAAGTCTTATTATTATTTTTTTAAATATGATTGCATTAGATATACCAAACTAGTCCAAAAGTTTTATATTTTAAAGTTGACATCTTCGTTTATCCATTTTTCGAATACACTACACCACTTTTATCACTACTACCATTGCCAACATCCAATTTTCTTTTAAAAAGATTTCCAATAAAACCCTACAAACAAAATAACTAATTAGCTAATTTTTTATTTTGATTTGAACAACCAACTTAAACTAAAATAAAAAACATTAAAAATCAATGTAAACTAATTAATAAATGATACTTATTTCATTCTGAAAAACAGAAACCAAGCCAAATAAGCAATTAGCCTAGCCTAGCTGTGAGATATTCGGAAGAAGAAGCCTAGATGCCAAATAAGCTCTTTGTCTTGTCCATGCATTTTTTCCTTTGCAGAAATATTGTATGCATTACACCGGCAAGTGGGCGGCTCCATTAATTTAGTGGTCATTCATTAACTGGAAATAGTTTAGAGCTTTGAACTTTTTACTTAGACTAGAGCACTATTAAACACTATATGTTTATATAATAAAAATCCAATTTTTTAACATATGTAGAGAGAAGTGAGGGGTAGCACGTGCTACCCCTGCTACCCCTGCCAACTAATTGGTTCCGCCATTGATTAAAGTCATATACAAATATTAAATATCATATATACGATATTAAATTGGAATAAATACGTTATTCCTTTCTTATTTTAAAGTGGTATATTAAAAAAATATTTTATGTTTACACTTTAATGTTGATTTTTTTTTAAATCACCCCGTGTAATACACGGGTCTCACATGGTATAAATATCTATTTACAATTGGTTGAAAACCAATAGAGCAACCAAATCTTTGAAAAACACTTGGTCAAGCTTGTTAATTAACAAGCTTTTTGAAAAAGTTATGGTTTGAAAAAATTTCTCCAATAGCGTTGTCATATTTCAAACCAACCAATTTTATTAGATTATTTTATTGTTGTTTGTATAAGTTGTCTAGGTCGAACATTCGGCATTTAATGATTTTCATATAGGTCTACCAACTTCTCATGTTAGAGAAGTAGACATCCATTAAATATTGTCTCATATTCGTTTAAAAGTATTATAGTATATATTGTAATATAGATTTTGCCTTTCAATAAAAAAGACTTTTGTTATCATGGTTGTGTGAAGTATTTTCCATACGATTAAAGGTGTTCCCTAATATTATATGTCATCAAAGAAATTGTAATCTATACTTTCACCAAAATCCAAGCTACCTGAGAGGCAGCAGATGAATCAATCAAATGCTTGCTATTAAAGAAGGTTTAAATCTGCAATTTTGATAGAAAGATTACATAAATCCACACAGAAACTGTGGAGAGAAAATCCAAGAGCTAAATTAGTACCCATCATCAAACTTCTATTCACATTTTGAAGCATCTAAGTTTTTCTTACTAATGGAAATCAAGTTTTTCTTACCACTTATCAATCACATTAGTGGGACAACGCCAGCGAATAAATATCATTTCTTGAGTCATGTCTATCGCTTCGGCTAGCTGCCACCACACACCCGAATCCGTGCATTTATTGCCTGAAATAAAGTTGTAAGAACGAATTTAAATACAAATTACAGTACTTATATATCAATATAGATAATGACAAAACTGTAAAATCAATATAGATAAAGACAAAACTGTAAAGTTAAAGTGGTCTGGTTTCTCATTTTATGTGGTTAAGGTCTAAACCTTTGAAAAGTTGCAGATTTGGTCGTTTTCAACAAGTTTTGTTGTGATTTTGGTCTCTCTTCCGTTAACTTTAACGGCTTGACTGTTAACTTTTTTAAAATAACTATTTTACCATCAAGGACCATTTCTGCAACCAAACTACAAGGTCCATTTCTACATATCTTCTTTTTATTTTTAATGAATTATTATATATTAATAAATATTATTTTTAATATATTCTATTTATATATTAATAAATATTAATTTATTACATTATTAGTTTCTTTTAATTAAATTTTTTAAATTTCTTTGATATCGAATATTTTAATTTGATTATAATATATGAATAAATATTATTTTTAATATATAATATTTATATATTAATAAATATTATTTTTATATTATAATATTTATATCCTAATAAATATTATATTATCAGATTATTAATTTCTTTTAGTTAATTTTTTTAATTCTTTTTTATTGGAATATTACTTTAATTTATTATTTTATATATAATAAATATTATTTTGTTGGATTATTAGTTTATTAGTTTATTTTTAATTTATACTATTAATTCATTTTAATTTTATTAGTTCCACCACAAAGTCGCCAAAACACGTAAAAGTGTTGCCTCTCATCATCAAAAATAGTCAGGATCACCACAAAACATCTTCATCGGAGATCGGACAGAAACCCACCAACCTTTTACAACAAATGATGACGGTAGTCACGTGCGATAACATCACTACCATCACCCGATCACCACAACCGCTTTTAATATTTATAGGAATTTGTTGCGCATTGTGTGAGATATGAAGGATTTCAGCGGATTGTGAAAATATTATCGTAGGTGGCTAGGATGGAAAAAGTTAGTAGGGTTTCGTCGGACATTCGATGAAGATTTTTGGTGGTGGTCTCGACGATTTTAATTGATGAGCAGGCGACGTTTTATCGTATTTTTGATAACTTTATGGTGGAACTAATAAAATTAAAAAGATTAATATTATACAATAAAAATAAATTAACAATATAGTAAATAATATTTATTATATAAAAAAATAATAAACTAAAAGTAATATTCCAATAAAAAAGAACTAATAAAAAAAAAGAATTAAAATAATTAACTGAAAGAAATTAATAATCTGATAATGTAGTATTTATTAGGATATAAATATTATAAATTAAAAATAATTATTTTATAATATATAATAATCCAATAAAAAAATTAACTAAAATAAATTAATAATCAAATATAATAATATTTATTAATATATAATATTATATATTAAAAATAATATTTATTCATATATAATAATCCAATTAAAATATCCGATAACAAAGAAATTAAAAAAAATAATTAAAAGAAATTAATAATCTAATAAAATACTATTTATTAATATATAAATAACATATATTAAATATAACATTTATTAATATATAATAATTCAATAAAAATAAAAAGAAGATATGTAGAAATGATCATTGTAGTTTGGTTGCAGAAATGGTCCCTGAGGGTAAAATAGTCATTTTTAAAAAGTTAACAACAAAGTTGTTAAAGTTAACGGAAGAGGGACCAAAATCACAACAAAACTTATTGAAAATGACCAAGTCTATAACTTTTCAAAAGTTTAGACCTTAACCAAATAAAATGAAAAACCACGGTAACCATTTATTCTACAAGCCCACTATAAAGGTTTATTGATTTAGTAATGAAGTTTACAACTACATAGAAATTCTATATATGTAGAGATAGGTATTTGACATGCACTAACTGGAACATGTACATGTACCTGTTGTTCCCAGTTGGTGCGCATAGTAATGACCAAGAAAACTATTGCTTGTAGACCACTCCCTCCTATGATCCCCATCCAGAGTCCCTGCATTGAAAAAAATTGTACTTTGTGTACGGCTTGCAGGAAAATATATAGTTTAAAAAAAAAAAGAACATATAATTTTTTTTTCTCTTTTACCATTCCTCCATAATGCAGTAAAAAAGTCAAGATGGCTGAACAAGGAAGACCAACGATGTAATATGCTCCAAGGTTCACAATTGCACCGATGTTTTGCCACCCACATCCTCTTGCAGTACCTTTTTTTTCGGAATTAAATAATCATTTGTACCTTAAAGATTCTGATTTTGCAAGTTTGGGTGCATTAAGTATCAGAAGGTTGACGCTTTTTTACCTGAGAGAACACCTTGAATTCCATCCATGAAGTTGGATAATGCAAGAACAGGCATGATTGAAGACATATAACTCACAACTTCTTCTTCATTGGTGAATAAATAGCCCCAGATATGTCGAATAGCAACTAAAAGTAAGCTTATGAGAACTCCTTCTGTAATGGCTAAAAAGATCACAACTCGTGCTGCAAGCTGTGCAGCCTTTGGTTTCCCAGCTCCTAATTCGTTTGAAACTCTCGTGCTTCACATAAATTAATCCGATATAAATGAGTAAAAAACACAAACATATACTTTTTTAAGATATTTATTTTGCATTTATTATTTTATTTTGTAGTAGATGTACCTTACTGCACTCCCAAATCCGTAAGGAATTCTGAAGATCACTGAACTTGTAGTGAGACTGCACACAAGAAAAGGATAATTTTAAAAATACCAAAAGAAGATGGTGTATTTAACAAAACGACCACTTTTTTTTACCCTTTATTTAACTCTTTTATCTTTTACACAAAAAATTCTCAAACGGTGGCATTGCTAATTGCGAAATTATTCTTTTAAGGATCCTAACCCCAAAAAACCTTCAAAAAAATTCGAAGAAAAACACTATACTTAGCATATATTATGTGAATGTGTAGTCGAGTATTTCACAATATATATATATATAATATATATATATATATATATATATATATATATATATATATATATATATATATATATGTCTATTTTGCAATATTTAATTTTCTTTGAAATTTTTCTTAATCTTCTAAAGATTTTTAGTGGTGATTCAAAAAACATTATATATCACAATTCACAACTGGACACATTTGCAAAATTGATGGACATAAAGGTGGTCATGTGATTATCCCGGAAAAAAAAACAAATTACAACAACAAAATATGACACATTAACATCATTTCATATGTGATCTACTTGGGACAACTTAATAACATACCTGACAGACATCATTGAAGTTTCAAGTTTTGGATTTGGAAGAAGACCAGACATGAACACGAGGAACTCGTAAGACCAATACTCCAGGCTAATACATAAACATAAATCACATTAGTTTCTTTTCTAAAACAAACACAATGCTAAATTACAATTTACAACCCCTATGCATCTCATAAAATTGAACTCGATTATCAAAAACATTGAAGAAAATTATACCACTATATATTCACATTCCAGACTAACTAACCAGACCATGAGTGCAGATGGTATGCTCAACACAAGAAAGTCGCCAAGATTTGTCACACCTTCTTTACAAAAACCCATCCATGTTTTTTCAAAAGCAGGAGAAAACTTGATATAAATCGATAAAATCAACACATTAATCCAATAAGAAACAGCACAAGAAAGTGCAGCCCCTTCACAGCCTAATCCCAACTTAAAAACACAAATCCAGCAAACAAGAATGTGAATTAAGCTTGTTAATCCAGTGCTTATCATCAAAACTTTTGTGTTACTTTGAGCTTGTAAGAATCTCAACTGACATTGAAGAAGCCCATAAGGGAAGATACTTGGAATCAGCCAACGTGTGTATGATCCAGCTTTAGTTGAGATCTCTAAATCTTGTCCAAAAAAAGTAAAGATTGTGCATGTGAAAGTCCATATGATGGATATAGGAATAGCCATAAGCATGAGTACAACCATTGCTCTTTGTGTGTGTACACCAAGCATACGATATTGTTCTGCTCCATAAGCTTGTCCACAGAATGTTTCCAGTGCACTTCCCATTCCAAGCTAATTATAATCACAGAAACTTGATTTAGTTATTTTTAGATTAATGTGAAGATATTTGATGAATCAATAATGCCATCAATCACAAGGCACACTACTATTTTCTAAATATAAATTTGGCATCAAAAGTTAAAAAAAGGACAACTACTGGACAACCAGGGTACTCAAAAGGAATAACATTTGAGTAAATTGCAGGAAATAGCAATGTATTTTGTCTTTTATCTATACTAGCTAGCAATGTAGTTAAATTTCTTTACCCATAGTAGCATCATAATTACATTTTTTTTTCTTGTAATAGCAATATATAACACATAACTGAAATGTACTTATAGTTTCTTTACACAACACACATTTTTTACCCATAATGGCAATGTTCTTACATTTACTTACACATAATAGCCATATGTAACAAATAAAGGAGAGTGCTATATATATTGGTAGCAAAATATAAGTATGTTGCTATTATCATTAAAAATATAAAGAACATTGCCATTATCCATGAAGAACTATAAGTAGGTTCCTGTTATGGGTAAAAAAAATATAACTCCATCCATACTAGTTTTCTTATGCTACAAACAAATTTTCAGGGTACGTAACGTATAGACGTTTGCCATGTGTATATATATCACTGGTTTCTACTCTCTACCATCTATCTACTTTTTTTTTTTTTTTTTTTTTACTATGTGGGTCCTATACTCCTACGAAAGAACCAATTATCAATCTTTTGAATCAAAAGCCTGAATGCTAAAGGGAAAAAGAGAGAATTATAATTGCAAAACAAAGAATCAAATAATAATTTCGTGACAAACTCAAATAAATACGGAGAATTGTTCAACGACGATTATAAATAAACGTGGGACCCACTAATAAAATAATGATTGAAAATATAGTAATACCATGAAGCTAAAGCCAGTGACAGAAGCAAAAGAGGTCGCCATTGAAGCAGCAGAAAGGGAAAGCTCTCCAAGATGACCGACGAACATCACAGAAATTATCTCCAAACTATACTGCAAAAGACTCACCACACAAAGTGGCCCTGCTAACTTCAGTTGTTGCTTTAGTTCTATGATCGAATCTGAGATGACAATGCTCGATTTTATCTTAACCCATCTAAATCTTCTAATTCTTCCCCCTAAATTAATATGATCACAACCATTTTCAGTTCTTGAACTTGGAACAATAAGAGGAACCTCAAGAACATTTCTCGGGTTCTCTTCATCCATGGCTATACACTCTTTTTTTTCTTGAATCTTTTTAAGAAATAATGGAATATAGCAGTTGGGTTGCGCTCAGAAATTGCATTTATGGATGCCATGCTAACAGCATGTCATACGATCAAACACGTAATCCATGATAACGCATCATATTAATTTTTTTAATATATAAAAGATAAATATGAAGGACCCCATATATATATTGGAAATTGTGGAATCATAAATAAGTCAAGTTAAAAACATGAATTCATGAACACTTGGCAGTTTGACTAGAGATATGCCTCCAATTTTAATAGGGATTTTGCGTAGGAACAGGTGATTTCACGTTAAACTAGGTCTCATGTATATTCTTGAAGAATTGATAAGAAGTACCGTACAAATAGTTTAGGGTGATTTTAAATACATGAATAAAATCTTAAACTCACGAATCATCCTGAAATTTTTTGATTGATTGATCTCCGTTTTATTGTTTATTGTTATTTTAATAATAAATAATGCCCATTTTCCTAAATAGCCATAAGATTAATAGAATTTTTAATTACACCCCTTTAATTTTGTAAGAAGTTTCACTTAACATATTTTAGTTATTGAGATTTTTAATTCATCAATGCCATTTTATAATATTAATTTGAATTTCTTTAGCAATTTTTGATTTATAAAATTTTATTTTTTTCAAACTTAACATTATATTGTAATGCCTAAATGTTTTATAACTTTTAACACATAATAATCGGTATTAATATACATAATTTTATTCGTTGTACGTTTTTTGGTACACAATGTTTACAGATAGTTTAGTGTGTCTATTTATGTGCGGTATATAATCAAAAAACGCACCGCAACTAATTGTTTTTTAAAAAAATAATAAATGACATCGGTTATTTGTCCGGTTCAGTCCCCACGATGGAATAATAGTAGTCTAGTTGCGCATCGCGGTATTCATAAAGTCGCGTCGTTATTTTATATTTTTTTCGTCTTAACTTCGGATAGCCATAACTTCTAAAATGCATGATATTGTTTATTTATAATCCTATATACCAAAAGGTATCCATTATCTGCCCTCGAAACAACACATAAACATATGCTTTATATTCACTTTTTGCATACTTTAGCAATCATACACAACTAAAATTTAAATAGAATTAACATGGGAATCGTACATAATAGAAAAGAAAAACATAACTCACATGGTGTTTTCATACTTAGAGTTAACTGTGTAATATTTTCCCATGAAACGTAATATTGCATTCCACCGAATATATAAAAGATACATTACAATAAAAGGCTAAATACAAAGTGAGCTAGCTATACAATGGAACACATTATAGCTAATACACAACTAAAATATACAAATATGCTAACATCCCTTGGTGAGGTCCCAAGATAACGTTCATAAATTAGGGGTTTTTAATATGTATCTTACATGGTCTGGTAAGATGTTGAATCTTACTCAATTAGATTTAGATAGTTTGATATCAGAATTAGCAACCTCTGATATGTCTTTTACTATGTCAAATAAAAAAGGTTGAGTCTGACTCAATCATGCATTGACTCAATCAACAACAATCAGACAACTCTTACTTTTTTATTCTCTTTAAAACACAACCATTTTGTTACAATAATAATCTAAATTTCTATTTTTTGATAAACCCTAATTTTTGGACGAGTCATTAATAAATTAGGCTATTTTTCTAAATTCCTCAACTTAGAGTATATGAGATTAGACTTGAGTAGCCTTAACGACTGTCACGGGTAACCATGAGTAATGCGAAACCAGTATGTGATACAACTTCTCATTTAATGAGTGTGGTGGTATTTTATAAATCTTTACTTGTATGTAAGGCTAACTACCTTAGTGTGGATCTTATGTAATGAGCATATTATTTTGGGTATGGTAGTCCCTATAATGTTTGGTAAACATGCCTTCATTACTTGGACAATTTTCCTATAATGAGTATGTGAGACACTTCTCAATTAAGGACATATAAGGTTAGACTTGAGAAGACTTGGGTAGGAATTAGGAGCATATGTGCAGTTGCATATATTTATGGTGTTTATGATATTCATAACAGTCCAAATATGAAATATTTATCATACGTGCTTGATGGGTTTTCTAGGTTATAAAAAAATACATGTAGCGGAAAACACTTAACCTTTAAGTTCAGATGCAACCTAGAATGGATCTATGTTTTCTCTGTTGATAGCAATTATCTATGAACATCAGGAAATCCTAAGGGAAGGCTATGGAAATCGAAATTCAATAAGATTAGGGTTACAGACCTTTTGATTGTTATAGTAAATAATCACACAAAATCCTCTTGAAGTACCTTGGAAGCAAGAACTAAAAGCTTGGGTGCCTCTAATGGCTTGTACCAAAACCCTAGCAACTAGAAGACTTGAGGAGAGAGAAGGCATAAGCAAAATTTTGGCACTATCAGAGTAGGAAGGAGTGAGCGAAAATAATAGGCCAATAAGTCTATTTATAGTTGAAACAAGAAACATTAGATAACTCTAATTTGAATATAATTATAATATCTTAAATTAGGTAATTATCCAACTCATTATTTATCTATAATGAATATTCTAGAAACCCTAATTATCTTCCCCAAAACCGTCAAGGGCTAGGAAGCTTTTGGAATTCCCCCTCGTTCAACTATTGAACAATCACAGCTTAAGTCCTTGCACTTCTAATTAATTCTAATTAATCTGAAATTAATTCTAATTAAGTTCTGATTAATTCTTAATTGATTATTACTATTTCAAATTAATATATTAATCATATAATATATTAATAAATCATTTATTTTAATTTTTAATTAATTTATTAATCACATAATAAATTAACAAATCAAGCTCTTCTCCTTAAAAGTCATTTTATTCAGTTACTAGTTATGAGGGCATCCCAAAAAGGAATTTGCTTCTAATTCAAGAATATACCAGTTTAGTTATTGGCTTAGACACTTTAACCCAACAGGCTCCAACTTGGATAAGTCTGTAACTACAATTGCAAGTATAGACCTTGAACTAAACAACAAAGTGTGCTCCCCAAAGCCACTGCTAAACTCTAATTCAAATCAACCATTGGCTCTAAGATAAGTGATCAACTATTCTTTCATTCTTCATGATATCTTATGGACATGAGAAATGGATCATAATCAATCTCACTGTCTAATATTTATTTTCCGATTTCCCGATTTGTAAAGACTTTTTTAGACTACAAATTGAACACGTCAATTAGTCATGGCTGGGCCCAATAGTATAATGTTAACATCAAATCACCAAGGGGCCCACTTATATTGCTTTTCCTGTTAGGGCAAAAAGAGCAAATAAACTTTGACTACATAATTGTAACCTTTACTCACCAAATCATATATGATACTACGTTTTATAACATCAAGTTACTGATGTGTTTACGCAACACCAATATACAACTGATTTGTAAATTACAACTTATGTATCTCCATTTGAAGAATAGTAGATATTATTTTCTTATAATTACTCGTGACAAGATCCATGAAGTAATCTCTAAGCATGTTTATCCAATACTTAAAATCTATATTTTTAACGTACTCATTAATATTATAGCAATTCCAATTGCAATGTCTTAACCTCAATTGACAAGCTACAATCAATTCATGACAAACTTAATTCACTACTCACTTCCAAAAGTATGAATGACTGTGGAAGTTTGAATAATTCGTATTACTAAGGAAGTAAAGCATGCAAAATAAAACATAAGAATAAATAATTGAATAATGAAGTACAATACTCATAAATAATTCTTTATTATTCTATCACCAAAAACAATTACATTCATTTTGTTACAAGTTTCAAATTATCACCTAACTACTAAAACTAGCATCGTCTCTTAAGCCTATGCTCTTAGTGTTTATCACAGAAGAGCTCCATTGGTTCTTGAATAGTTGGAACGACTCTAAGATCTCTAATAAAGTTCTTTAGCTAAGCCGCTTCCTTCGATGCTTCACTCACTGCAATTTACTCTGACTCACAGGTGGAATCAGCCACCATGTCTTGCTTGGAGCTTTTCCAAGTAACCGCTCCCCATTCAATAAGAATACCAAGCCAGATTACGAACAAAAGTTGTCTCGATCTGTTTGAAATCTGACGTCGTTGTAACCACTCACTATTAACGTATCACTGCCGTCGAGAACTAGAAACATGTCTTTTGTTCTTCGCAGATACTTAAGAATATTCTTTACCGCAATCCAATGGGCTCTGCCAGGATTTCCATGAAATCGACTAAGCATGCTCAAACCAAAAGACACATCAGGGCGAGTACATGTCATTGTATACATGATCGATCCTACATCCGAAGCATACGGGACTCGACCCATTATAACTATCTCTTCATTTGTATTGGGTCTTTGAGGGTCTTACTTAATTTAACAGTACGATGAATGAGCAATTCTCATTTCTTGGAATTCTCCATACTGAAACGCTTCAGTATTTTATCCAAATATATTGTCACACCCTCCCCGGCTGATGGCAGAAAATGTCGAGTGGTGATGGTATAAAGATTTCCCAAATCACAGAGCGCCAATCATTTACCTTTTCTAAACGAAATCTACAAGTCTTTATGTCGATAATCCTTTTTTGACTTGATCTCTTACTCTTTCCTAGGAACACATGTGATTTTTGAAAACGTCAACATGATGTTGGTGAGTGCACAAGTTTTTATAGTTTTTGGCTTTTATTGGGTTATATTATTTTAAGAATCCTTTTTCTTCTATAAAAACATTTCCTAAAGTATTTTATTAACCCTAGCTTACTATCTTATAGGATATCTAACGATCATATCTTATTATCTTCTAGGATATCTGATGATCCTATCTTAGTATCTTTTAGGATATATTTATTAATCATAATTTACTATCTTTTTAGGATATCTAATGATCCTAACGTATTTTATCTACCATTCTAAGGCGTCCCAATGGTAGTCATACCCTAAGGTGATCTAATGCATTACCATGAGCGCCCATATTCGACGTTATTTGACTAATAATTGTTCCCCGCCACGACGC